ATGATAATTATTAGAAAAACTCCTGATTTACAGGATAGATCCAGTGTGTTTTTCTGGTAACACAACATGTTGTAAAAAGTCCACGTGTTCTCAGGTTTGAGAAAAACCATGACTGTTTGTTAGTGATGGCGAGATGAAGCTTCTTGAAGCCCTGAAGCCTTCCAGCCAAATGGTTCACAAAAAGGTTCATTGCACCCAAACCCCCCTGATGGTCAAAGACTGCTAAACACCCCGATATATTTTAACAGTAGAGCCATTGGCATGACTACCAAGTAAAAGAAATCAATTGATCTTAATCAATGCATTTCATGTATTGTTCATATATTCACTCTTATAAATAAATTACTATTCTGTTTGTTTCAGTATTTTAACAAGGTAAGGGGCAGTGAAAGTGCTTGTGCAAGGGTTTTATTTATTTTTATTTAAAAACAAGAGGTGTTCAACTGTGCTTGGTTTCAGTCGATTCCTTCTTTTGGATACACTTTCTCCTGCTTGTGAGAACACCCGTTCACAGGGTACAGGTGAGGCAGGGGTGCATACAAACTCAGCAGCAAGCTTGTACAGGTGCAGGTAAATAATCCTTTGCCTCTCCCAATACTGAAGGGGGTCCTCCGTTGTTTTGCACACAACAAACACTTCACCTTGGATTATGAGAAAAGACAGTGAGAAAATGTAGTACATTGCATAATGAACATTAAACAAATATATCTTAATGATGTCACAAACAGTGTACTTACCTTATTGGGAGAGATCAAATCAAAATGTGCATAAGCAACAGTAGAATTAAATGCACCTTCTATTTCAAACACAACCCAACAAATCGCCAACACTGACCCACACAGTGTGAGCGGATCCATTGCAGTATTTATGTGTTCCTAAATCACGCCAATGCTCGAACCACTTCCTGAACCGGCGAGGCTTCGAACGTCATCAGTGACGTCACCAGCCCTACGCGCGTCACAAACTATTTCCGGGATTTGTCGACACGCGCTCAGATCGGAACGATGGAGCAATATGGCCGACACTGTGGACACGTGAGGTGTCGGGACATAAACCTGAAGCTCTCATTGAAAGGTAACACAACAATAATCACCTTCACCTCATCACAACTACTGAAAATATCCTAATGGACATCAGGTCTAACGTTTGCCCTCCAACTCCACCCGAAACAACACGCTGACTGAAAAACGGCCAAGTCAAAGACACGAGGCTAACGTTGTATGCTAAGCTAGTGCTAAGCTAGTAGAAACAACATAAAGCGACACATGTAAAACAGTGATGAATCAGGACTCTGTTACTGTGGGCACTGTTTGTTAACTTCAACTCACGGCGGACATTTTGGCTCCTGGTGCACAGGTGTATGTAATTGAAATATCGATAATGGCCAATAAAATAATACCCAGCATGCACTGCTACACGGCAGACATCTTGTCTCCGTGAGAAAGGCCCATGTGTATTTTATAATAACACAGTGTGTTTATTCCGTGGAGGTGTGCCACGAGCAGGGTGTTGGTGTTTTGTCCAGCAGAAAGTTCTCCCTCCATGTTATTAGCTCTTTGAGAAGCTACTTGCAAACATGAGGCAATTATCTAACTCACTTAGATGTCATTTGTATCCCTGCAGAGTGATACTTGATGTTAGTAATGATAGCAGCACCAGTCAGTGATCCTAATAATAATAATTGTTGAATTATTTTGTTTAGCACTGATCTAAACAAGGTCACACAGTGCTTCAATGAATGAACCAAAATAACAATCTGATTTAAGCTCTGACTGGTTTTTATCATTAAATTATTATCTTGTGTCTTCAGGGATCTGCATCCTGCATAGAGATATAGAGAGTATAGTGACATGTATTAATAAGATTAAATACATGGGGACGGAGAAAGCTCGTGCTCAGTGCATGATGGGAGTTCCCCCTATAGCAGCATAACTAAGCGATGGGACTAAAACAGTAATGTTTGGTATAACTCTTCTCATACATAGACAGTAGCTAACTTTAATAATCTTGATTTAGCAGTGATAGCACACTTCTCATTGTTACTACTATTCACTCCATTTTGTTTGCAAATTTTGTGGGAAACCAGAAATTTCCATTAAAGTAAAGCGGAGGCTTCTGGTTTGTTTTTACAGTATCAATGCCAGGCTGAGCCAAACTGACCTGCCTGGTCTGTCAGCACAATTTCTTCATAGAGAGTCAGGAGGAATTTGCACCTGTATATCAAGGTTTTCTCTTTCTTCCATGTGGAACAGTATGAAGTGTTTTTGTATAAATGTGTGTAACCTCTTAATTAAAAAGAGGGATCTCTCAGCAAAACAAAAACTTACAGAAAGTATTGAAGGCTTAATATCCCACAGCAGCTTTGATTTGTCACTACTGTCTTTTTCAGCAGCTGATAGTTACTCTGCCTGAAGCAGGCTGTCTGCAGCAGCCCATATTAATGTTATTGATCATTGTCAACTTTTGTGCTTCTTCCTCCACCCCTCAGCTCACACTGTAGCATGGAGTTTCTGTGCTTTTTTTTTTTTTTTTCTTGCTAGTAAAGGTTTCTTTTTTCATTAGTCCCTCTCCTTCTTTTCCCCAATAACCCGTCTCCTTTATTGCACACAGTCCTTAGAAAGTGACAACTTGGGAAACTGAATCAAAGTTTCAATAAAGCCTGGACTGCTGTGGGCTTTGACAAGTGAGGTGGCTGAAGTGGAACAGTACAGCAAGAGACTGAAGGAAGACATATCGGTTCCAGAAAGATAAATAGTTCATGAAGCTGTTGACTTCACCATTTTATTACTTTTGTCTCAGAATTTTCCGCCTGCCTGCAGCTCTTTTCTGCCCACAAATTATTCATCGTGCTCCCCACAGGCCCCAGCTGTCAATCTCTGCATCAGGAGTTGGAAGGGAAGATGGGAGTTGTACATTTGTCATAAGCTCAGGTGCTTGCATAGTTACTCTTTATAAAACTATATCAGCTACCATGACCCCATGCAACTATTTCAGATTTACTTAGAAAAACACAAAGCTGTGGCAGTAAGGAGTCTGAAGTTAGACAAGCCTTCTATGTACCTGTTTTTTTTTAGCTTTTTCCACTTACATGAATTTGACCTTTTGTTTCTACTGTGTTTTTAAACTGATCCAGGTGCTGTTGTCAGGATAATGTATGCTGCAGCCTCTCATGTTGACCACAAGAGGCCCAACCTGCAGGTAAACACTAATGATGGCTACACAAACGGACATGCATGCTCCATGTGTGAAAACATTACACACACCTCATAGTTCAAAAAGTGATTTTTTTGTTTAGACATCAAGTTACTGTTACCCTCTGAGTTCTGAAGTTTCAATAGAAGACATATGCTCAAAGTTGGGTTCATAATTTTAATTTGGGTTATTTTCTCGAAAAAGGTTTACATGCTCAAATGTTCAGAGAACACATCTCTGTCCTCGTACCGACCAGTGCTCATCATCATCAGTCTGTATCTGAAAAGCTTGGTTATGCAAAAGACACAACACAACCACAACAGAAGTGAGGTACGATGGATGTGGGTTATTAAATGAGCAGTTACTTCCTATGTTCAGGTGAGCCCAGCCTGTTCTGATGGGCTACCCCACTCTGTTGTGATACCATCAGGCGTGCATTATGCAAATGTAATATGACGCCTCAATACCCGAGAAGTATTTGCTGGACTCCTGATGAAGCATTTGTTGAGGTGTAAGGAGCTCTTTCTCTTTCCCACAGGCTTTGGGCTTTTTAACTTTGCAGAACTTTAGCAGACACAAAAACATGTAATACATATTGGACGAGCTGGGGTGCACCACATAGTTTCCACGACCCAATGTATACCGTGCTTTATCGTCTATTTGACTCTAAATGATTAGAAATAGATCATCAAGCTATATTAAAAACGTATACTACCAACAAACCAAATAAGCTATGTAAGAAAATGTTTACTGACGTTATAAATCAAGTGTGAATTAGTAATTTTCTTAGAGATTTATACAAAAAAAACCCTTCTGTACGCCCTCTGCTGGTCATTTGAGAGAATACAGTTTTTTGGCAAATCACATTGGCTTGTTTATATGAGGAAAACAACAAGAACATTTGTCGACATGATTGGATATAAAGATATTGCTCACATTGAAAGTACAAGTAAAATCTCTTGGTGTATTGAAATAATGAAATTATATCAATAAAGATCATGTCATTGTGTAAATAGAAGGTGACGTCCATACCTCCTCTACACTTTAACATCCCATGAATAGTATTTCTATTTGATGTGGTGTCCAGTGATTCTTCAAATTGATGAAGACATCAAGTAATTATCCAGTCACCTCTAAAATGCCTAATCATATAACCATGAGATTACCTCAGGGAGGAAGAAGCCGTGTGAATTATATTTTTTCTCCTCCTCAGGAGTTTAGACGTGCATTTTTCATTTATACAATAGTGGGTCTCAGCACAATTACATCAACCCTGAAGTCGAGACTACTGTCAAAAGTAATGACAGTGATCAGAGTAACAAAAGGGGGAATAGTGAGGCCAGATTATTCTGACAATGTGAACCAGATGTAATTATGAAAATTGGTGTCCTTCAACATATTACTGTATTTGAAATGTCTGTTTAATGTTCTGTGCATATGTCCCTGCATATACAGTACTGTGCTACAGTACTATATGGCTGTGTCTGTGCTCACATGCTGTACGAGAAATGGTTGATAGCTGTGAGAAGGCTTTGGTGGAACATGAAATGCCAGACTCTGACTGTGCACCAGCGTCCTGCTAAAGTCATCAGTTGAATGGAAACCTTGTCAGCAGTGAAGAATTGATGGTCATAGTTTCCCAACTACCGACAGGCGCTGTGCAGGGTTAGAACTACATTATCTACGTTGCAGACGTAAATTAAACTGGTATATCGTTCAATTGAGGGTCATGTTCTACTACGACTGTGTTTGTGAACATGAACTGTTCTCATCTGAAGCCAAAGACAAGAGTTCCAGGACTCTGCTGCCATGTCGTTCAGACTGTCTCAGAAGAAGGAAGAGCGCAAGTTTTTTTTGAGCTACCTCATGTTTGTTTAAGCTTCTGGACCATGATATTTTTGGGTTCTGTAGTGATAATAGCAGAACCAGAACATCTGGCCAGAGGCCTGGGCCACACTGGATACGCGTGTCACGGAACGTCGTGCTTTTGATTTCGGCATCCATGTTATCAGTTTAGAGCAGCCACACTGCCTGCGTGAGCTTTCTAGAGAGTCGCGTCTTGCCTATTTTCTCCTTTAGCCACACGCAGTTCACAGCTAAACATACAACAAGCTTTCACTACAGTTTCAGAACCAGAAAATGTACAGCTTCATAATGTAGTCCTGGCGTTTAGTTTAGTATATAGGTCTAGTTTTATTTGAGGAAATACAGTAGTCATGCCAGAAACATCACGTAGCAGCAGGACACGCCGTGAAAACACACACTTCACATGCATCCACTGTGTTCCAGGTGTTACTACTTGAAAATAATTCTTACTGTCAAAGACAATTCTCCATCATTTCCCAATATATTTTTTCCATTTGTCATCTGACCTCTCAGTAAGACAACGTTTCTGTTGCATAGGACCCACATGTGTGTTGAATCTTGACACGAAAGAAATTCCTGCATCGGAGATTGATTCTGTAGCTCTGGCCTGGTTTCAGCCTCACGCCAGGTTATTGGGTCGAGGCATGGAGTTGGAGAGAGCATTAATATGTAACAGCCAGCTGTGCAGCTACGGTTGGTTTAATGGTTAAACTCTATACATAATAAAAGGAAGATCAACGCAGATCCCTTTTAGTTTCAGTTGACCATATTACATGCACCATTTTTTTTTTGTTCACATTAAGCAACAAACAAATGACACCGCCCCATCACAATAGCTTTACAACTAGGAGTTAAGTGTATACAATTACATTATTAGGTTTCTGTTCCCACTGTGCTAACTTGGGTTCCCTTTATCTCTTAATCTGATGAAGGAAACTAGGTTTTTCTTTTCCCATGCTGCTTTAGATATTTGGCGACAGCTGAGCGCTTGGACAAATCTGATTACTGAAGAACAGTCCCCGCCTTACACAACTGGGCAAAGTAGTTTTCTTTCAACTGTTTCTTTGTTGTTCTTCTTCTCGTCCCATTTAACTTTTTTTTCACTGAGGCATCAGCGCTCACAAATGTCAATGCAGGAAAAGATTTGGGAGAATATGGCGAGCAGGTTGAGATTGCTGGTGCGCACTCGGTGAACCTGCACAGTCACTGTGGTCTCATCAATTGAATTACTAGAATTAATTACCGCTCTCTGCCTGGGAACGCACTGCAGGCATTTACATGCGGTGACCCATACTCTGTTCTCTGCAGTGTTTATGTAAGTGTGTGTGTGTGCGTGTACACACACTCCCTCCTGAAGATAACAGCTGCTGAGTGTGGGCCGTGATCACGCACACTCACACACAGACACACACGTTTTGCTGTACCTGCCTGTTTGCATTATTCTACAAGACAGCTCCCGGTATAATCTGCATAGTGATATCATTTGGGTAATATTGGAGGTAGCTCAGGCACCACCTGCTTGTGTGTTTAAATTGCTGGTGAGGAATGGGGCCAGGTGGGCTGGGGGATGGGGGGGGGGGTCACAGAGTTAGAACACAGCCTTCTCCAATTATGATATACATCGTTATAATTGGGGGATACATGTCATTGGGTGTAATTGCACTAACTATTCTCCCCATTTCTCTTGGGTGTGGCGTGCTCAGTAGCTTGGGGACACTCTCGCACTGAATCACCTTTCTCTCTCTCTCGTCCTTGCAACTACCATCCAGCTGAAGTTAGTAGTTCTGGGGATCATTCCTCGTGGAACCAAGGACTTGCGGATAAAGGACACAAAGTGGGCCCCGTAAAATTCCTCCGAGGACACCTCCATCACAACCACGGCAGCGGGAGGAGTGCCCTCACAGGTGCAGCGGACCTCTCCCTTCTCCCCTTCCCTCAACCCAATGTAGCTGCAGTGGGGTGCTGCACCAACAGATAATGATTGAGCCCCAGTGAGACATGTGTTATGGAGCCCTTAATGAAAGAGTTGTGCCCCATTGAGCCCTATAATGAATGTTCTGACATTGAAAATCCCAGGGAGGGCTGCCTAATTCCTATGAGTGGGTTCATGCAGCTAACACATTTTAAAAGTGAAAATAGTAGCTTGAAGTAATGACGGGCGAGATTATGTTTTTTCTTTTTTTTAATTGGTCTTGTGTAGTGAGCTGAGTATGCGTGTAGCTGCACAGCCCCATCAGAGAGAGGTGTTGAGTGCCTTTGTTCAGTGCAGCCTGGTCCAGCTTGTCTGATACCTGCTTAGCTTTCATTCTGACTAATGGAAAAGTGAAAAACACACAAAAAAAACTTGGCTGCTCATTCTCAGAAGCCAAGAGATGCGAGGCAGAGATCACTGCCCCCCCCTAACACACACACACTCTCTGCTTTGCAGCATTATAACTGATAAGAGCTTTTGTAGATTTTGGTAACGATGTCCCTGAATACCAAGTGAGCTGCATCTAAAGAGGCCCACAGGAATTAATAAAAACATCTATCATTCCATGGCTGCAGTGGTTTCCTGCCTTCGAGAGATCACAAAAGAGAATCACTGAATGCCACAATGTAATTATGTATTTCAGGGTGTGTATTGTTCTGTGTGTATTGTGCATTTTGGAAATTTTGTATCCCCATTATGGTCCTGCTCTTTGTCCTTCCCCTGCGTCGCTTTTCTACTCCACTCCTTTAATTTCTCTTTTTCGCTTTCTCCTTCTCTCATCACACAATCCCATTTCATCCCTTTTTCTCATTTCAACTTTTTTCTTTCCCCATACAATCCTTCACTCCCTTTCCTATAATCCCCATGTCCTCTTTTCTATCTCTCCCTCTCTCCGCTGCCACCACCACTCTGATTAATTTTCTTGTCCGCTTCATTCTTTTACACAGACAGGTGGCAGAGCAGCTGGCCTACTACGTCCATGTGAAGGGGACAGTAATCACAGAGGAGACGTTTGATGTGGCCGAGCAGTTTGGCACGGCGCGGGCCGACCTCACCCAGAGCCGTGCGAGGTGACCTGTTTGCTTGCCCCCTTTGGTCGCCCTCAGCACCTACTGGGAAAAGAGCATCAAGGAATCAAGGACAACTACGGCGCCAACATGTGCTCAGACCTCACCAGCTTCACAGGTGGGTACTTGAGTCAAATAGAAGAGACCATTGACCGTCAGTAAACACTACACAAGGCAGTAGCTCTTAAAAAAGAAAACGCCTTGTGACTCCCGTAACGAGGACGTGTAGGGGTCTCCACTGTGCACATTAACTAACAACAGAAATCCATCACCTCCATTAACATCAGCTCAGCTCCTCCTGGTGTTTTGCTCTTTCCTGCAGTCTTGTCCACTCATCTATAGCTGTGGTCTGTTTGCTCTGCTGGCCTGCTGCTGCTTTCTACTGTCTGGCTTATTTTATGATAAATCGCTACGCAAATGAACTTAACGAGTCAAGATTTTCAGTGATACCCCTGTGGTTATGGTTCACCATTTTCCAAGCTCAAATCCAGTTTTTAGCAATAAAGTGAAAATTTGTTATAAAATTGGCTTTCCAAATTTAAGGCCCCGGCTCCATTCTATCCCTCCCTGGTTGGGTGCAAACCCATAATGCTAGCTGAGGTTTATTGTTCCATTTCCCTTTCTTTGTATTCTTCCCAAAAAATCCCATGTCTTTGCCGAGACCTCCCCTAATGGCAGCATTTTTAATCAGTTTCCCTAAAGCTACCTAAAAATGATCCTGTCATAAGTGCAGAACGTTTCCTCTTGAAAGACGAGCGTGCATCACAATAAATCCTCTCTGACAAAATGTCAGTTTGACAGCCAGCCATTGATCTGCTTCATGTGGAACAACAAATGCCTCTACAATTTGGACTAGTTCTTTAATGTCACAGCCAAAGAGATGCTCTCTGTTCGCAAAGCCAGAAAGGTAAATGCTGACAGACGAGTTGAATTGAAAGATACACAGGGGTAATCATACAGCATACCACTGCGTTGTGATGGTTCGATTCTCATGCTAATTATCTCAATCAGCATACAAAATGCCACTGCTTTTCAAAGGGGCAGCACACACACTTTTTGGATGTGCACACACCCACTCTGGTAGTAAACAGAAACTGCGCACCCACAATTACAACCTCCTCTACCTGACACAGCTCCATGTTTTCCGGATAATCAGACAAAGATTGGATAATCCTGACAGAAATCCTTTTCATTCCCTCTGCCCCCTGCAAATTCTCATTTTTGCAATGTCGTTTTCAGTCAGTACACCAACAACCAAATGCATTTCAAGGATTTAAAATGCCCTAGAACCTAAAATGTTTTTTCTTTTTCTTTTTGCTTTCTAGAAACTTGTTCCTAAACTTGCCAGATTCAGTAACAATGAAGTCACAATGATCTGCTCCTTTGTGACTGCAGGTGGCAGGTTTATACGTTAAATATATATGTAAATTAAGAACACAGGTTATATTATAGCTCTCAGGTATACAGATTTCACTCCCATGTCGGACAGAGTCGTAGCAATCATGTAAAGAGCCGCCAATTTGTTTCTGAGCAAGGCTGCACCACAATCATCATCATTCATTCACTTCAGGCTGATGAAGGTCAACCGGCCCCAGAAATTCTGCAAAAAGGCGCGCACATTAAAATGTATACATGCTCACATGCATCTCAAACAGGAGCAGGGAGAGAACTGTACCCGCTGGTTGTAAAAATAAAATGACACGTCGAGGTGTCTTTTATGTGATCAGCTGTCTCGCTCACCTTCTGTGCTGCTGAGTTTCCTCATTATTTCTTCGTTTTCCATCCATCGTCGTCTGTCCTGTTTAGCTGTTCTGTTTAAAGGCTAATGAAGAGCTACATGTTGCTGCCATTGAGTATGAAAGTTTCTTTTGAGGACACCCAGCTCTCTTTTTCATGCTGAGTCTGTAGCATAGGTTTTCACACATGAACTCCAGAAGATGTTCACCTTCAACTACCAAAAAACCCTTTTAACAGGGGAAAAATGTAGAATCCTCAGAGAGACATGTGAGGGATCCCTCTCCCAGGACGGACACAAGTGTAATAGATGCCACGTGTAACAGAGAACATCAGCAAAACAACAGTATTTACAACACTGATTAGAAGAAAGAGTTTCTAACGTAATGGAATGTGTGTCTATGTTTACGGCACATCTGCCCTTATCGTTAAATGCTCTCTTGACTTCTTTGTTGTTGTCTTGTAGTTGTATGACACCGTTCTTTTTTTGTCATTCATGTATCCATCACATGTTAAAAAACGTCAACGGTTTAACCACTCACTTGTGGTTAAACCTGCAGAACATCACCTGCTGTGTTCTCACATGGCCTCATTTGGGGTCTGGCAGGGAAAACTCTCCGGGGTCTCTTACTCGGACATATGCGTTCTCACATGCAGCCCCTCCGGAGAATGTCCGGAGATCATTCAGATTTCGGTGCATCTCTGAAGGCAGCTTACAGTTTTATCCATGTTACTATATGATGTTGTTTTCACCTTGTGGTTTTTTTTTTTTCAAATCCCAAGTGGTACCTACTGCACTTTGGAGGAAAGTATTTTCTTGTTGGTTCTCTCTTGTCCGTTGCTGCTGGAGTTGTAAACATTTATGATTGAAATCCATTTGATCTCAGTGCAAAGAGCGAGTTGCATATTTCATTCCATGTATCTTAACAGTGAGGAAAGCACGACTGTTTTCTTGCTTTGAAGAAACAGAAAAGTGTGCTACTCTCTTGATACTCGTCACTTTTTTATGCAGTTCCTATTCTTGCACTTTGTAGGCATAAAAACCTCAGAGAGCACTGCTCTCTTGAGATGATATTTACTGCATCTGCTGTGTTTTTAAAGCAACTCAAATCATATTTTTTTGTCCACAATTTCTGCGTTTTCTCACACAAAGGTGGTTCTGTGTGGCTGTGTGATTTGTAATGTTTTTATATAATGTCCTATTTGAACAGATAATGTTTGCATGAAGGTGGCCAACATGGTGCTGTACATCCCAAATGAAAGGCCTGCAGCGCAGCCCTGAGGAGGCCAGCAAGGACAAGACGGCAGTACAGAGGACTGAGAGTAAGCCTAAAGGGGTGTGTGTGTGTGTGTGTGTGTGTGTGTGTGTGTGTGTGTGTGTCTCTGTGTGTGTGTGTCTGTCTGTCTGTCTGTCTCTGTGTGTGTCTCTGTGTGTGTGTGTGTGTGTGTGTGTCTCTGTGTGTGTGTGTCTGGGGATGCTGCCTAAAAGGTCAAACAGACTTTATCTTTTGATCTGTGATTCTCTGTTCAAACCACCATTGAAGCCCCAGCATCTGCTTCCTGACTCTTGAGAGTTTTTATTTAATGATGCACTGGGCTCGCAACCTCTCACCCTTACCTATCCACATCCTTTATCCTTTATTCTTGTCTTTGCCTCTTTGTACCTTTTCCAAGTCATGCTTTTTATTGTAACCTGTCGTTGTGTCCTGTTTCCACATCATTTCTGGCTTTTTCATAGCTCTCTTTATTATTTTTTTCACTTCTTTATCTTCTCTTCCCTCCATCACTTCAGACCAAAGAGCTACTGAATGCACACGGTGGGATTGAAGGATTCAGCCTGCAGGCTACCTGTAAGAGATGGGCTTCTGGAGAAGCTGCTGTGCCAATGTGTTGGGCACATCAGCCAGCAGATGGAGAAGCCAGAGGTGAAGCAGATGGAGAGAACACATACAGATCTATTTTCTGGAGGTACAGGTACAGAAAGTCTGCAGAGCCATGAATAATTGAACTGTGTCTTTAAAATACTTATGACACAATAAGTCTGAAGTTTCAAGGACAGTTACAGAGCTAAACAACTAAATAGTTTTAATCTATGCATATTTACTGGTTGTCATTTTACATTTAGATTAAATGTAGCATGTAGAAACATGCAAACACACTTAAATCTTACTACATGAACAAAGTGGAGTGCAGGTTGTTGTTTAGATGTTTTTTGAGAGTATGACTCATATCTGCACTGTGCAGTGTGACAGCGCTCGTAGCTTAGGCCAATGCGGTGTACTTTCTGGTATAAAGCCGCCGGAGAGGTACAGTATGATGACTAATGGGCAAACAGAGAATATTGAGGCTTTATCCACTGCGCTTTACAGCTCAGGGTCGGCTTAGCCTGCTAAACAATCCATTTAACACTGTAGGGCCAACTCTGCCCAACAGAACCAACTTGTGTGGACTTTACGCACTGCATGAATGATGACATTGGCTAATGCTCAGATCACGCTGTGAGTCACCTTGCTGTCCGCATTAAGAATGAAACCTGTGTTTAAGTGTTTAACTCTCATATTTAGATGGGAAATGAAGGATGTGGGGTCAAGTCTCAGTATGTGCTCACACAGGAGCCACAGCAGGATGTGGGGCAGGAGCACACTACACGCTGCCAGTGCTTCTCTTCTGGCAGCACAGTATATGCCGTGGGTGGGCGGTATACAAGTATCAGAGTAATCACTGGTATGAAAAGCCCCATGACTTGGATTGTGCGATACCGTCATCAACCTGATAAATCAACAGCCCAATCATATTTACAAGTAATTTCTCTGTCAGCTGCAGCCTTAGTGCAAGGTGAGTGGTAACAAGTGAGCATCCGTCTGATCAGAGTGATGCAGATTATCTCACAACACAGTGTTCTTTCTAACTTCACTGTTCCAGAAGAAGCAAAATATGAATATGAATACAAACATAAATATAAAGATCAGCTCTATGTGTGAGTGATTAGAAAAGAGCAGAGGAGCAGAATGGCTTGTTGACCTTCACAGAGAGAAAGGCACCTCAATGCAGTGGCCAGGGGTGAGCAGGTTAAAGTGAAAGATATATAACTGTCAACGATATGTGTGTGTTTCGTATCACCTCGAGTGCATAGCCTGTAACTGTCCATAGGTAAGAGTGTACTGAAAAATTATAATGTGTATGGAAATAGATTGTGTTACTGTTGACTCTTACCTGCTGGTGTGTAGGCAAACACTCAGCTTTTAATGCTCTTCTCTGCTTTTCCCAGAACCACTGTCTGGAAGCACGGACACATCCTACCCATCTATATTGAAGAGGCCATGTGACAATGCTCCTCAGCTGTGACACGCTGCTGCATCAACTGAATCAACTCCCACCACGTATCATCGATCGCTTCTACGAGGTATTTGCATTTCACCACTGTTCTCTTGATTTGGTTTTGTTCAGCTTGTCTTTAACTCTTACACAGATGTCAAACCTACGACTACACAGCCTCACTATTTCTAGTATCTTTGCCGAAGAGAATTAAATCATGTGCCATTGCAAAGTCATTTACACAAGCAATCATGTATTCTGAAGATAAGTCAGTGGAGCAATGTGAGCGGATACAGTCTGACACCTTTCTCTGTCAGAGCGTCCTTTCATTGGTTGATCAGCTCTCCAGATGGATTAGGTTTTTTTTTGTCTCGCTCTGATAAGGCATTGTCATCTCTGAAGCACACTCATTGAGTTCAGTCATCAGAGCTACAATTCCCTGAAACTTGAATGCCGAATGAAAATAGCCATCACTGTTTTCATTAGCCCAAGTCTTTTCATTTCAATTGAAAGCTCTACAGACGAAAGGAAAATGTTTAACCTCAAATAATTAATTTCTGAACCCTCATTTTTACAGTGGTTTGCTGCCCTGTTGCTTGACTTCACTTTTACTCTTAGTCTTTTATGTTGCTTCCATTTCTTCCACGTCTTCATCCCCTCTGCCCCGTCTCTTTCTCTCTTTTTTCTTTGATAACACATCAAGGCGTACTGGCTCAAACAAAACATTAGGTTCAATTATTTTCAGGCTGACAGTCCAAGCACTCTTAGGGTGATACTGTTAAACATTTCTTACTTACTAAATGCGCAACTTTAAGAATGGCAGTTGTTGTCAGAACCAGTGGAGTTGGACGGGTTGTAGTTTAAAAAAGGTAGGTAAATATGCTGAGTGCTGTTATGGTTTGGAACCTGTGCCAGCACCTCACATCTGGTCACATCTCCACGGTCTGACTTGTTCTCACATTTTCCGGTGCTCCTCCGTCCTTTCTCTGCCCCCTGAGTCCTTTTACTCACTTATTTATTATTTCTCATACCTGAGGTAGAGGAAAGCCATTTTACAGCCACCGAGTTGCCCTGCTCAGACTGTGCTGCCAGATAAAGGCATCCTGTCTGGATGGATCAGTGCATGTATGTTTGCAAACTGGATTGTGTCTGTGTGTACGTGTGTGAGAGAGAAAAACATGTTTGAGTGTAACTCTCCACATGTGTGCGTGTCTTCACGTGCGTGCGTGTGTGTATACTCGTTTTTGTAACCCCTTTGGGACCTTTTCCAGCTAAACACTGAACAGGACCAGAATACTTCATGGGGACCAAAGCCCAGTCCTAATGAGACGAAACTTAATTTCTTTGGTCCTGGTTAAGGTTAGGGATCAGATGTGAATTTTGGTTATGTTAAGGTTAGGGTGAGGCATGAATGGGTCATGGGTTAGGTTAGGCTCTCCACAATGAATAGACATCAATGTAAGGTCCTTTTAAGGATAGCTATGTCAACTTTGTGTGTGTGTGTGTGTGTGTGTGTGTGTGTGTGTGTGTGTGTGTGTGTGTGTGAGATGATTTATATAACTGTCTATACTATATGTGTCTTGGTGTGCATGTGTGTGTGTATTCCACAGACCTGCTCCCTCTGCAGCGGTGCATGTTGTCATTGGCGGTGGACGAAGCAGGACACCTGTGGCTCACTATGTTTTATGCAGCTTCAATGGCCACAGCCTTTAGTGCAGAACTGCTCGCTTAATGCTTTCCATCTCCTCTCATGGTTCAGAGGCTTCTTCCCCCTCCAGTTGTATGAAATAATATTGACAGAATACGTCTTGTTTATTTTCTGCAGAAAAAAGAATTCCGTCAGGCAGCAGTGGCCCTGTCCTTCTTTTCTGGAGCAGAACCAGATCACTGATGTGGTTTCCATTTGTGTCTGATGTTCTTTGGCTAATAATTTCTAATCAGGGTCCATTTCTGTCATGGTAGCATGTGTGGTTGTCTGCCTCCTTTTATCTGCGCGTGATGTGTAATCCATGCACTTTGTGTGTTCTATGTGCGTTTCACATCTGTGACTGTGCAAGCCTGCATCGTATTCCAAGTTTGTGTGTGTGTGACTTGCCACTGCCCCCACTCTTCCCTGCAGGGCCTCAACCATTTTCTTCATTTGTTGCAGCTTTGTGTTTCTTTTCTTTTTCCCCCTCCTCTTCTCTTTTTGCACTGGGGAACACAATGTCTGGTTTAATATCATTTTCCAATCACTGAAGGCTGCAGGGCAAGGGCTTTTGACTTGGCTGTTTCGTTCCAGCTAATACCAAAGAGAGGGGAGAGAAAATAATAACGCTAGTGGTTGATAATAGCTGCAGTGATCATTCTGCAGTCATTTGCCTCTGGTGCTCTCTGTGGCTGCGGCTGATGTTGTCTTTGTTTTGTCACTGCCCGTTACATGCAGCTACACCACTATTACAGGCTGTCCAATGCTCTTCATCTCTTCCTTGTCCATTTGAGATATAATCAACACCGTCTGGTTGTTTTTTTTTTTTACAAAGGGGAAAACAAAAATCGGAGAGATTTGCAGTTAGAAGAGAGGGGAGACCAAAAAAATCCAGTGGACATGTACTTTTAAGTCGGTACTGCCTGTCGTAATGCACATCTTTTTAAAGAGGTCCACATTCTGAGGAAACTGATTATACAAGGGCTTAGGGAAAAATCTCTGGCGAGTTGACATTCAGGGACATATGTTGTCTTCATCTTTACCCTCCTCCCTCTACTACCCATCCTTCTTTTCTGAAAGAGAGGGAGGGAGTCAGACTGAAGGAAAAAAAGAAGGGAGGGAGGAAAAAAAAAAATCATTATTAACTCATAAGCTGGTTAATGCTGTAGCACTCTCAACCTTCAGCTCAAATGAGAATTTCTGTCATTTACATATCAATTTAATTTCCTGTGTTTCCCGCTCCTCTCTCCCCCTCCTTCATTAAAAGCAGCATTTGCCTGCCACTGCAATCAGCCTGTACAACACATTTTCCTGGGCGGTGAGCAGTTGCACACGCTCACGCATTCTGCACACACTCACACACACACAAACAAACAGAAAAACACACACAGCGATGCCTTGACACAGGCAAATGCAGAGATGAACACACTTACATATATTTTGTGTCATCCTGTCACAAACACACACACACACACACGTATACATCACACTCACACAGACATTGAAGCAGTGTGTCGGAGCCCAGGCAGACAGAGCAGCTCCGTGGCCTGCTGTAGCTCTGTCAGGATTAAACCAGTGATCAGAGAAATGAAAGGGAAGCTGTCATTCCTCATAGGCCTCTATACACATCATCCACAATAATTACACCCTCTCCTTCCTTCGGCTCGCTTCCTCCCTTCCTATAACCTCCTACCTGTGTGTGTGTGTGTGTGTGTGTGTGTGTGTGTGTCACAGACAGCATGCGTGACTGACACCCTGCACATCAAATAGGAGCTTTTATGATATGTGTGCCTGCTTGAATTACACTCACTTTAAGCCTTATTTTTCCCCCCTCTGTGGTACACCTGTGTGTGTGTGTGCCCACACGAGCATGCGTGCGTGAGCATCCCCTCCTGAATTGATACAGATGTGCCTACCCCTGCTCGGCCCACATCTGGCAGTTAGACTGAACCTGCAGGGGATATACGCAGCTAACTGCTTCAATCTGGGACTTGAAGCTTATGAATGCGATCAAATATTCAGTTCAAGCTAAGTGTTACACAGCAAGGCCTCAAGTGTAAAGTAAGTTTAAGGTCTGTCATTTTAAGTCAGTGCCATATGTGACCTTAGGTGTGAAAGTCAAGAGTTCCCAGATCCAAGCTGTCATAGAATGATCCCTTTCATTTTTTATCACTGTTTATATGGAATTTTCAAAGGAATTACAGCAAACACACTGAGGCCAAAGTCTTGATTCAAACTATGACACCTTTCAGATACAGTACATGAATGGGAAGACTAAATAATACAATTGAATCTAGCTTGTTTCACGTGTCTTTTTAATACATTCTGACATTCTCTATTGCAGTTTTTCCAGTTTTATGATATATATATATAACTGCAAAGTTTTAGTATAATCTGTAGTTGAACTTTTTAATATTAGTTGTATTATCTCCCTTTCTCACGATTGTGATAACCTGAATAACCCCTGAAGAACAAACGCTCACGTAGACTCAATCTTGAACTGTTTAGAATTTGGCGTTCAAAGGTCAAAATCACTCGGACCTCACAAGCACAAGATGCCGCACTCTAATTATAACTAAATCAACTGAACACCTTTATATTCAATTCCTTCTAAGATGTCACTACACGTATGAGCCTGAACAGACATGGGTGTCAGCTGTAACCCAAATGGTTTGCAAAAGAACACAAACACGAGGCGGTAATTCTGCTTTATATTATTGCTAACAGACGGCAACCTCTCTTTGACATTTGTGTTTGTTCGGTTGAGAGGAGTTTGTGAAAACTCTTCTTCGTCCTTTTCCATTACACTTGAGTCTCCGCGGAAATTATTCAAACAAATGTTGCAGTGGTGCTACAAGGCGGCCAATTTAAAGGTTGTATGTTTCCCTACATGTAAATTATTCATTTTCATTTTGCTTTGCTTTCCTTATGTTCTATTAGTTTTAATTGTTTAGCCAACCTCAAGAACTCGGCTCAATTACAAAGTGAACTTTACGAGACCCTGACCCAGATTTTACACTGAACAAGTCCACTCTAACCAGTGTAATATTCCTCTCTTGAGCTGAACATTATTAAAAGCAAAACGTGTGCTCTGGAGCAAGTAATGAATAAGCTAATACCTTGGTTTTGCTCACTGTTTGTCCCCTTTTGTGGCTAATGACTTTGTACTGTAAGACTACTTCGTATCCAGGGTTTTGTATAACAGTGACTTGTTATTATAGCTCAGCACTTGAGCGTGTAATAAATGTAAATCTCAGTGTCTGTAACTTGGTCCCCCGAAGCTCATTATTTGTGACAAGTGTGTGAGACACTGTTTGCTTTCTGCTGTGTTGCAGATGAGTAATGAGATCATTCGCCTGTACTCCCAAAGCATCTCGGTGGACAAGATCTTTAAGGGCTACGTGATCTCCAGCAGGCAAAAAAACTCAGCGACTGACTCTGTGCCGTAAAAATGTACCTGCATATGCACCAAGCAGATTTACTACAAGTAAGAAAAATATCAACATTATAGGGTCTTAACATTTTTCTTTTTTTGTAAAATGTTACATTTATATGTTTTGGTATTAAATGCAGTAATTAGAGCTCTTAATTTTTCCGAAGCGTTGTGAGGATTTATCTTTAATTAAATGTTCTCACAACTGTAAAATTAAATGGATGGTTGAAGCAGAGTTGGGAAGTAAGCCAAAGATAAACTCAGTTGAATCCATGGTAAATCAATGGGACTGGCTGTAGTGTGGATTTATCTCCTTATGCTCAAGTAAAGTTTATCATGCTGGAAATACACAAGACTTTTACAACCCCAATCAACTGTGATCATCACATTTTATGTCTGTCCTTTGCAATTTACACTGTTAGACAAAGATAGGTAAGTGAACACCTTTAAATTGACAATTTTCAGCAAATTAACATAACTTGTTTGATCCAGGAATGACGGCTTCATCATCAGGAGCATGCACGATATCCATCTTGCTTATTCAACTGCAACCTGAGCCGTCTTTATTTAGAAATGACAAGTTTTACAGGTGAACAAATGTCTGAAATAACATTTCATTTAGTTTTTTAAATCTACAGGAGCACATGTCAGAGTTATGCAGGAGTGAAGTGCTTCTGTAACAGACACAACCTTGATGAGTTGTTGTGAACTATTACATTTAAACAAAGTGTGTCTGTTAATTAGACAGACTCCTACACCACTTGAGAAACCCCTTTACAAAACAGTGTGGGAAGTGGGTTATGCCCTGAACCTCATTTGGGAGGCGAGGGGAGGTGCTTGTATTTGAATCTACAGTTGGTTGTGTTGATGTGTGCTGACTGTCCTTGACCCTGTTTGTGCAGCCCAGCACTGCCTCTCTAATCCAGAAAACCATAATAGCCAAATTGGGGTTACAGTGGGATTTGAAACAGTTTTGTGTGTTCCCAGCTGCACTGCATTTCCAGTTGATCACGTTAACTTTCACACGCACATCTCGACCACAAAGCCCGTCCAGTCTTAGATCGGCTCAGACAGGGTGACCTTTTTTTATTCGGTTGATTTATTGTTTCAATACGTTCATCGGCTGTGTTTATTGCTAAATAATTCCATTTAGCTGAAGTTTCTCTGTGTGTTCTCTAAAAGTTTAAAGGCTATCAGATCGTCCATGAGATCAGTTTACCATCAGTACACGAGGTGCCACAGGGAGTAGACTTTTGGGTTGGATTAGTCAGCTTCGACTTATTATCTACAACAAATTCTACAATCATGTTTTTCTCATTTTAATAAAATACTCCTCTGAAGGCAAATGCAAGATGAAGTGTTTGGTTGAAGGAGGAGTAGAATACATGTCAAGATACAAGATACTTTTTATTAATTGTATCTTAATATGCTTTTAAAAATTAATAGGAATGCTGCACCCACTAATAATATTACCTGCACTACTTCTTTTATCATCTGAACACAAAAGCAGCTGTGATTTGTCTTGTTTGTTCCTTAAATAAATCACCTCTATAGAAAATGTGGAAGTGGCGGATATCACAGCACTTCCTCTGCTATTGATGCCGTCGCCAGTAATGATGCATTCTCCTCACTAAATGCCAACATAACTGAAAAGTTATGTATAATGATAAAAGATGTGCGCTTCAAAGATATACCACATGCATGCGGTGACAGCAGATTACTGCAAACATCTGTTTTTCCTGTGAGCGAGTAACTTTCCCCGCTCCATCTTTGCATGAATTTACATCGTCTCAGGCTGTTCCAGTACAAACTGTACGCTCAAAAGTAACATCTCAGATTATTCTCAGCAAAACATGAGCACAGACAAAAGGAAACAGTGTATTTTAATTTGGTCAGTGGGAGGGACGAGCAAGAAAGTGTGCTTCAGGTTGTTTGTTTCCTTCACTTGTCAGTTAATCATCGGGTCAGTGCTTTTCTGAACTGCAGATTTTCACTTCATTACTATGATTGCCCTAAGAGAGAGTCTGAAGGGCTCCCAGTGTTTTCACTGGCCGGCACACACACACTCACACATACACACACATTCCAGACTCTCCAATAACCCTTCGGGCCTCTCGCTGTCTGCGCGGGCAATCGACCTCGTCCAACCAATTAAAGACAGCGCTTAGTTCCTGATCGATGGCTGAGGTTGGGGTGGGGCAGGATGAGGACGGCAGGAGAAGAGGGGGAGCTGGTCTGGAAGCTCCACTCCATGACCCAATGAGAGTTTTTTACTTGGCGTCTGTATCTAAAGCCCCTCCCCTATGGTTATGTCTAAGTTATGTTATCACATGGTTTCTGAGTCACTGACTTGTACAGATGGTTTGTTGCAACATACAGCAATGTGAAGAGTCTTCCCACGCTTTCTTTGTACTTGCAGGCGGAGGAATACAGAGATTATCATTTATCACTGTTGTTGCTTCACAGTTTGTAGAGCCTGGTAGATGCTGTGTGTAATTATACGTAGGAGAGTTTCTTAAGTTTGAAATTGGGAGAGAGAGAGTCATCATTTTATTATTTTCGATTAACATCAGTTTTTGTTTTTTGTGGAACCTTGAACTCAAAAAAGACTCTTGGAGATGGATAGCCACCTTTTGAAAAATAAATGAATAACATTCCCTGCTATCTCCAGTCAGTCCTTCCTTCATCAGCGGCTGGTGAAGGAGAGAGGGTGTTAAGTAAAGAGACGCTGATCTGTTTTTCCCTCCCTCAGATATCACACCAGTGAGCCTGTCACCCACGCAGCCAATATCACAGTCAGTCCACACACCGGGTTCAGTCACAGGGCAGGGAGAGAAAGCAGAAGGGAGGGAGGATGGAGAAGAAGAAGAAGAAGGGAGAAGTCAACAGGGATAGAAATGTGCGGCTGTAGCGGGTCCTGGCGGCTCAGAGCAATAGGGCACATGGCGTGTGCTCACAATGCAGTGCATTGTAGCCCCTTCACCCAGCTTTCCTGTCCTTCCTCCTCTGCATAATGCTGCAGAAACATGGAAAATAAATAAATAGACGAGTAGTTGATGCCACATCGCCGACAGAGAGGAGAGTTGTGAAATGAAAAGAGAAGAATGGGAGAAGAGAGGGGGTGAATCTGGAGAAATACAGTTGTGTCGAATAGATGAGAGGAATAGTGCAGCAGTGTTGGATATGCTGTAGAAGATGGCATCAAAGGGAGTCAGTATGAATAAGCTAAAGATGACTTTTATATGAGAACAAACCTCACTAGCTCTGACGCTGGAGGACTTGTGCGTAGTTGCTATATGTAAAAAGCACGATCCAGGGAAATTGGTGAAGTGCTGCGAGATGCAATGTCAACACAACAATACTGACAGCTTGGAAACCCATTTATTAGTCCCCCAAGGATTCCACTATCTCTGAATTTGTCACAGAATTAGGTGTCAGCCAGGGAATTCGGCCTCCTCTGTGGCAAATGGAATGAGCTGTGGAATAAAGTCATAAATTGAAAGTCTGCTGGTAAATTGTCACCCGCGCCGCAGTCACCAGCCTGTTGCTTTTGTGTCCTTCTCACCTCCCTGCTCTTAAAATGCAGCTCCGACTCGCACGCACATCATTTCTCACATGTTTCTGTGGTGATAAATTGGTCACTCCCACACAGAATTAAGTGCAACACATTAATGCTGCAGAACGGCCTGTAACTATAGCTGAGTAAATCTTTTTGACGTCTGAATGCTCATTTCTAAGAACTGACATTTTAGCTCACTTAAGTCAGTTTTCATTACGCCAGTGTGTGATCACAGATGCAATACTGAATAAGCTTGGTAATGGGCACTAATGTATTTATTAGGACCATCGAGGGACAATCAGGAGCCGCACTGATGATCCTTCTCCAGCCAGGTTCCTGATGTGCAGGCTGTCGAACAAAAGCTTTCAGCCTCATCTCACAACACCTTGACTTCACAAGGTAATAAACCAGGTGTTGAGCCCTCCATCTGGCCCAAGCTAATTCTCCTCCTCATTTCCTCTTTTCTTTCTTTATTTTCCTTTTGTTTCTTCAGCCTCAAACTCCCCTCGTTGCCTCCACCTTCATCCTCCCGCTCTCTGGCTCTCACTCAGCAGCCAATTTAGCAGCTCAAGGAGACACGGGAGTGTAAAACACATTCGCGGATCGATCAAAGTTGAGACTTCACGGCATATTCTCCTATGAGTCACAGTTAGCGTCTCCTCTCTGTAATCTCTTCTTTACTGTTAAAACATATATTTTTATACAGCATGTGTGTGTGCAGCAACACTCAGCAGTATACTTTGTGTATATAACCCTCAGGTGTGTGTGTGTGGTCGTGTGTGTGAGATACTAGATCTATCTTTCATGTGAGTGTGAGTGTTGTATGAGCATGGCGTGGTGACACATGATAAATGTGAGGTTGGCTGCACGCTGCCCTCCCTCCTCTTTGTCCTCTCTGTGGCCTCTCTGTTTCTCTCTGTCTCTCTGCTCCTCATGCTGTTGTTCTCTTCATCACTGTCCCTCTCATTCTCAACATGCTTCATTTCCCCTACACCCCTCTTTCCCCTTTTCTCTTTTCTTTTAGTCCATTTCCAAGCACAGGCTTTTCACTGTGGTCTCTGCATGAGCGTCCAGGCAAGACCAGCACGCAAATACAGTCATGCTCCCACACCTCTCTGTCTATATTAAATCATTGGCTCTATTACAGGGGATATTTTCCCAGACAATGCCTCTGAAGGCACTGAGCCAGGCAGGCCGAATGAGAGGGGCAGATCTCTCTATCCCTCATCACATGGAAGCCACAGTGCTGGCACTCCCACTGACTGAGATGAATGAATTTAATATATCTCCCTTTTGAAGCACAGATGACCTCCTGATATGGCGTTCTGTCTCTCTATCACAGGAGGCCTTTATTTTTTCGCTCCGCCCGTGAAATCTGGAAATACACAGGAAGACATCTGAAGGGATTCTGACAGAGACTAATTTGTTTTGTGGCCTGACGTGACTCTTGTGTATCTTGTCCATATAGACGCAGGCACATTTTTCGCCCCAACCCTTTTATGATCGGGAGATAGCGTTTATCACGGGACTTTATGTTTGTGTGCGACCTCAACTGTTTTCCAGCGGAATCGAAAAGCTGTGCTTTTATGCCTTTGAAAAAGATTTTATGAAATTCATTTTAATAGCTGCTGCAGCTTATGGTGTGATAATGTGGAGTGATAAGAAAATAGGAGGGTGGGTTTTATTGGTTTATTAGTGTAAAGTGATATTTGTTTTTTCTGGAAAAGGAAATAATTATTTCACCCTCTGCTCAGGGTTAAGGGTCAGCCAGCTGCTCTGATGCCTGTGGAGTCGGTCAAGAAGCCCTTGAAAAATCCCTCAGTGCAGCTTTAATCCCGCAGCTCTGACTTGCTCAAAGGTCTGTCAACATCTCTCCTTTTCCTTTGCCAAATGCCGTAGTGTCTGTCTCTGTGCTAGATCCTATGCAGGCTTTCTGTACATGTGTGTGTGCGTGTCAGTTAGTTCAGATGATCTCCATCCAAGTAAGCCAAAGTGACCTCTCTTATTCCCATCCTTATTGGATCTAGTGCTCCCCTGAGACTGCAGAGACGTTGACGCCTCTGGTCATTTTTCTGTCTCTTATAACCAACTGTCCCCGAGTGCGATGTAAGTCCCACTTAATTAGGTGCCAAATTGGATGGATTTACACTCATCCAGACGCCAAATGTCTTTTTATTGGGCATTTATCCCGTGAGGTTAGAGCCACACTGATCAAATTACACTGATTCAGACTTCTGCATAGCTAACTACTCAACTAAGCACTGTATGGTCTATATGCAGGGGCAAATTTATAGTCCACACACATTCTACACATAGATACTGAAACCTCAGCTCCATACATTGCTATCATTTGGTAGAAATGGAAATGTGCTGTAGATCAAACTAGAGTTAGAGCCTTGAAACCCCACTAGAGACCCCTAGAGGCCAGGCTTCTTTCTTCATCAAACCTAATCTAACTGGTTTTAGACTATCTATTATACTTGAGATTAACATGATGTATTTATATAGCTGGCAGGAAAAAGTGAATCTGTCATCTAATGGTTCAAATGGAAATATGTTTCCCAGATTATATATATGTTTTTCTAGTATTTAGCAGTTTAGTAGCAGTATTGTACAGTACCATGACCCTCTATACACACACACACACACACACACACACACAATTTAGATCCCTATAATGAAAACCCATGCAGGAAGTCATTTTCTTTCACCATAACAACGTTAACATTTTTCATTAGCATCATCTGTCATTTAAATTAAAATCTACCTGGTAAATGAATGATTCATCAAAATGTTTTAATAGCTGAATATAAGATTCTTCTGGTGAGTGAGTCTGATGAGTTAAGAGGCCACCATTTTAAAAATAAATGTCCCCAAAGTGTAAAAGAGTTGTGGAAGCAATGAAAAACATAGCCTCTATATACCCCAAACACCTGCAGGTATTTGTGTGTGTGCACAACTGGGTGTTTCTGTGTGTGCATGGGTATGTGTGAGTGTGTGTGCGAGTGAGTGAGTGAGGGAGGGACCAGGTTTTGTGCACACGCACAGGGCACCAGAGAGCTGTTAATTTCCGCCCGAGCAGGGGAACGGCCACTAAAAGTATCACCGACGTGATGAATGTGCTGCTCGGCATGGGCATCAGTGTTTAATCGGAGTCATTGGAGAAATAGCACCACATCAACTTCAAACGACTTCCTTTCATGTGCGGTTAGAGACGGAGAGCCACAGATGTGGACACACTGCCATCTCCTTCTTACCTTTCTCCTGCACATTACCTTAATACTGCATGTAAAAATGAATGCTGGACCCCATCCTTCCAACATCGACCTTAAATGTATGTGCACCTCTCCTGTGTGTGCATATAGATGAGACATAGTAGGGAATAGTATTATCAAATGGCGTGTTTATTATTTGTTGGATAATAAACCTGCTTCAACAGAAATACTAATCTTAAATTAATCTAAAATGAATCATACGGAACTGCTGAGGAAACTAAGCATGCTGTTGCAGCTAATTATATTAGACTGACTGTTTCCTGATACATCTGCTGATGCCTGGTGTTTAAGGTAGCATCCACTTCAGGTGAACAACGTGTATGGTTTGGGTTTTATCGAATAAAGATAATTACTTGAATCAGATGTCAGGGGCCCTCTGGCAAACACCGGCTTTTTCCCATGGACTCCCAAGTCCTCTCACTTTGCACATATGTTCTCAGCCTAGCCTCTTTCTTTCTTTGTGGCCAAAGTGAGAAAACAATTTACTTCTAGCTGCAGACAGCCCCAGCCCTCAGCAGTAATTGCTTAGTTTCAATAAACCTGTGGAATCACAGGAAAGGAATCAAAAAGAAAGGAAGAAAGCAGAGGCAGAAGAGAGCGTGAAAGACAGCAGAGACCAACACAACAGCCAGATGACCATGGTGACTCCCCACCATGGTGATGGATAATGGAAAAGATTACAACAGCAAGCCGTGAGGATGGTGACCATGACAACGATAATGGTCTCAGCAGCGTAAATGGAGAGTGACAGAGAAGGAAAGCCCACACGGGAAGATGTGTGAAGAACAGAGGAAGTCACATGACCACAGCCGGCTGGGAGGTGAATCGGTTTGTTTTGACAGCTCGAAGGAACTGGTGACCAGTCTAAGGGAGCAGCGAAGGCTGACCCTGATCAGACCTCCTTCAGGCAGCCAGATATATTGCAGAAAAATGATACAAAATGCTTTTTATTTTGGGTACTTGATTTCTAGAACATTTGACATACAGTATGCCTCAGCAACTCAGCTGTCTGCTCCCACCACAGCTCTGATCGGCCAAACCCACCAACCATCACAGAGGCAACCTGGCAAAAGGCTTAAGCTGCGTGGTGGGAGGAACCAGGATGCTCATCTTGGACTTGGAACAGCAGCTAAATGAGCTTCCCTACAAGCGAGTCAAGTCTGCCCTCGCTAATCCGTCTGACTTCGTGGATATTTTAATCAGTGGTGCTGTGCCAGTTATTAGGTTTTTCCTTCGGTGTATTCACATGTTGTTACAGTAATCCTGGTTTGAATCAGGTTTGGCCCGGGGTCTTTCCGTGTGGAGTTTGCATGTTCTGCTCGTGTCTGGGTGGGTTTTCTCCAGCTTCCTCCCACAATCCTGTTGATTTGGGTTAGTTTAATTGGAAACTAAATTGATCGTAGGTGTTAATGTGAGTGTGAATGTGTGTTCATCTCTGTATGTTGGCCCTTCAATACGCGACCTGTCCAGAGTGAATCCTAGCTACTTCAAGTTCAGTTCATAAGTTACACAAAAAGATCAAATCCAATAGATGTCAAACATTTATAAACACAAATGCTTGAAAGGATGTTGCCTATCTGATCTCAGTAAGTAAAGTTTTCCACAGTTTCAGGGCTCTAACAGCAAAGGTCCATACGCTTAGTTAAGTTAAGTGTATGTTGAGTCTTAAAACTATACATTCATATATTTTTACTTCTGTGTCATGACAATGCATTTGGCAAAAAAAAAAAATATTCCTTTGGTATTACACATACAAAACTTGTGGGACTCAAACAGTAAAGTAAAAAAAAATCCCACGTGGACTAATTTAATTCAGAACCATTAAATATATATAAAATGACTCATAAAGAGCCCTTTTTCTTTTCTCTTCTCCCACTTTCTCCAGATTTTAGTCCATGTAAATTTATATGTGTAATACATTAACAGCCAAATCTTTGTCTGTGCATCGTCCATATTTACAAAATGAATATCTTTTCTGAAACAAAACAGAGCCCCATACAATAAAATCCTATTTCATACATGTTGGTGCAGTTATGATTCAGTAAATCCTGGTCAGCTTTTAAATGTGCTATTTCTCCGTGCTCGTCTAACTGAAGTCTGAGCTGTTGACACAGTGTCAAAATGACCCCTTTGCTTTTACAGTAATTGTCTGATGATGAATTAACCTTTTGGGGCAACAGTAAAAACTTTGGAGCTCCAGGTGTTGTCAGTAAATATCTGGGTCAAGTCTTTGTCTTTCATTCCAGTCTGTCCAGCACAGTGAGGTGCAAGAATGGAGCTGGATTTGAAAGACAACATCTACGAACTGATTTTTTATGTGCTATCTGCATTTGAATGCCCAGAAATTAAAAAGCCTTTCGCTTTGCATTTCAGTTGTGGGCAACCAAAGTAAACTAGAAATGGACAACTAAAGACATCTGTCCTCAAAATTCACATTCACCTGCAAAATCTGGGATATGACCAAGCAACCCTTGTGTTAGACAGAACCCAACCCAAATATGTCGTGTACCTGTAACCACAGTGAAGGGATATTTCTAAAAAGTATTAGGTTTTTACCACTCTCTGAGGTCACATACCGTTCCTGTTTACCTGTTGTCGCCATGACTTCACCCCCTCCCCACCTTTCAGCTTTCCACTGTGAGCAGCAACTATAAACTTTATAGTTTTCTTTATAGCTCCCCTTCCCATCAAGGGAAGAACAAAGTGTGAAAAGGAATCTGAGAAACACCAGGCCACCAATACACAACCTCAGAGGATGCAATTATGCTGCTGACAGATCGTTTTTGACCTTTATCCTCCAGCCTGTATGGATGGCGATTTGCCACTGTGACAGACGCTTTTTGTTTTCATGCACTTTAGAATTTTGTGACAGCTGGAGACGCGGCTCTAAAATGCTGAGGTACTCATCTGTTTGAAAGACAACTTGACTTTTTGCCGCTCCTTCTCCTTCACTCTTTATTTACTTTTGTTGAATGTCTCAGTCAATGTAACATTCTCATTATTTATCGGTCTCTCTGCTCCCACCTCTTTTCTCTCTCTATCTGTGTATCTCTCTCTTTCTGTGCCTCAACCATCTCTATCTCTCAGGTATTTTCCAAAGGCTGGACCCAGTTCTAAACCTTTAGTTTTTGTTCTGGCTGATGCTTTCCCTCAAAGGCTCAGAGACCTGCTTGAGGTGAATTGCCCTCTCAAAAAATCCTGACACACACACACAAAGTGTCAATGTCCTTTCTCAACTCTACAGGCTCCTGCTGTTGAAATAGGTGTTGGTTTTTTCTCAGTTCAACTCACTTCATATCACATTTTCTTGCTGCTACTGCCACTTGTGTCATACTCTTGAATATCTTCATGTTTGGTTTTTATGCCTCCACATCGATGACAGCCAATGGCAGGAGGCATTATGTCTTCGGGTTGTCCAGCCGCCTGTCCCATTGCGTTTGAACATGAAAATGATATCTCAAGAACGCCCTGATGGAATTTCTCCTGAAGTGGTAAAAATGTTCACTTGGAAGATGAACTGATTAGATTTTGGTGGCCCAAGGTCAAGGTGACCTCATGCTGTTGTGAACATGACCTATCTGAAACAATTCCAAAGGGAATTTAATAACACACAAAATTTGCCTGGACCCAAGGATGACTTGATTAGGATTTGGTCAAAGTCACTGTTTTTTGCCTTTGAAAGAATCTCTTCAAATTCGGCCCTAATGTACAGTTAGACTCACAATTAGAAGTTTAGATTTTGGTGGTCAAAGGTCAAGGCCATAGTTTCCACATAAGATATGTTTTCATGTGAAATATAATATATATCAACTGAAATGTAAATTCTTTATTTCTCAATTTTGAGATCACTCAATGTGGATTTGCACAAGTCAGAATTTCCATATACAGTTTGAGCTGAGATATGAAATACACTGGTTTGCAGCTTTTGTAAATGATATGAGCAAACAAATAATCTTTTGAATGAATTGATTGCATGGTTATAATGCAGCTCCATTCACCGCCACCCGCATGAATTGCCATGTCTATGACCTTTAACATGTTTTAGCTTAATCTTTAGTTGCCTTTTCCGCATTTTATTCTCCCATTCTATTCATTTATTTTACATCTCCTCTCTATCCCTGCAACTGTTGACCGAGCCTCTCTGTGGATTTTGGCTGAAGATATACTTGAATGCAGATTTCCTCTTTAGCAAATCCATGGGATGTGACCTTGAATACATTGAGTCTGGAGACTGTACTGTATTTTCTCAGTTTTTGCACGTACACATATTCTTCTTGCAGTATGTTTTAATTTTTTTGCCATCACATCTATTCCACCTTGCTTTTTCTCCCTCCTGCTTCATCTGTATGACCCACCCACAGCTACTTTGCATAGATTATGCTACATTAGGCCATGCAGGGCATTGTTGCTATGTAACATCGTATTCATACTTGTCCTTATCTTAACCTTTCTCTCCATAACAGCTTTGTCATGCGGGATACCGTTTTCTCTCTTGACCGTGTGACTGCCAGAAGCAGCTTGCCTGTTGGGAGGAGGGTCGGCAGCGGGTCTTGCCAGGCTTTGGTGGGCGCCATGAGCCAGAGGTCATCCACTGCCTGCTGGAAATACAGTCGCTGCCTACAGATTGTGCACATTGTTGGCACAGGCATCCTGGACGTCAAAACACCACCTGGCTCAATGATTACAACAGGTAGTGCTGTTTAATTTTAAAGGACAATGATGCCTTTTTCCTGTTATGTGTTTCTTTCTTGTGTCTTAACATATGGCCTCTAGTGACTTGGACCGGTGAGTGTCAGGTGTATTACTAGATTGGTAAATGTTCTCAGAGTTAATATAGATGCCTCTTCCATCATAGTGATGCTGTTGGGTGGTATTAGGTTTCATTATGAATCAATAGCCATCAAAACTATCTACAACTTCCAGTTTTTCCAAAAATCACGTGTGCGCATGCAATCTGACAAGGTTAAATACTGTAATCGGTACTTTCCCTTATATAATATAAAAACTACTTCCACACAGCTCAGGAAGGCTTTGCTTGCTGGCATCCTTCATTTTCATGGTTAAACAAAGTAACATTGCTGATTTACTTTACTTGGGTCTGATGCGCTCCTAGAATGTATATTTTGAATTTAAGTGGGTCATCACTGCTCAAATGCCAACTTTTCTTGTGAATTAATGAATGTTCGAATTGGATAAAGAGTGACAGCTTTAACCGCCATCATTTTAGACAAACATTCGACAAGAATATTTCTCTGTCGTAGCTGATGCAAATTAGTTTGCGAAAACAATTTCTTATTACACTGGGCTGCTACATGTAGTGTGACATACAGAATAATTTAAAATGAAAACACTTTACTGAAAGTTTGAAACTACTTCTACTCATTATTAACAAATCATAAAAAACCTTAAAAGAAGCATGTTTAAACAAAGTGTTAAAAGACTATAGTACATGCGATGGTCGCATTTTACGACTATCTAATATCATTTTAGGAAAACATGCTGTACAGTGGCCTCAAGCATACCTTCTTATAAAAGCAGGAAGAATTGGAAAACGCTTATTTTAAAGTATTAAACACGACAACAAGCTCTCCCTGGGCCAAGGGCAATGTGCAATTAGCTGGAAATTAAACATAATGGTTAGCGCTGAGGTGTAAGGTTGCTGCAATGAGGTTTGTGTTGATTATTGTGTACTTGATTTGTATGTGAGACACAAAACTGCAACTGCATTATTGCAGTATAGTATATGTAAATGTACCATATTCATGTTTGTGTCCTTTTAAATAACAGTGTGTACTGAATCTATTTTCTACTGTTCTGTAGTTGTAGTTCCTCAAAAGGCTGCAGATAAAACATCATCGGCTTCGGTGGGGTTTAGGAAGGTCCAGTTTGTTATACACTTGTGTTGGGTCATTGAGAATGCTGAGCACAAGCAAGAAGGACTCAAGTGCACATCACTATGAATTGTGGGAGTAAATAAGGCTGTCTCGTCTCGCAAATTTTTAAGAACGGGTTTGAAGACCGTCTCCTCCTTTCTGTCCATGCTGTTGAAAAAAATAACTTTGATATGAGAGGATGATGCTGATAACTGGTGTAAAAATCCCCACGGCTCTCATCGGCAGAATTTAGATGTTTGGTATTGCTGGAAGTAATAGAGATAAATGCGCCGTGGCCGAGAATCTATCTTGTTTCTTTGCTTTGAGTCAGTGGCTTGCCCAGTAAGCCAGGATAAAATATCTCCTTCATTATGCTAGTTCACACACATCCAGACTTGGTGCTTTGTCATTTTGTTTGTCATTTTTCAAGTTATAATGGGTCGCTGTAAACACTTGTCAGACAGGACACCAATCAGCCTTATTCCCTGTCATGCATATGTTTGCAAAACATCTCACCTACCAGAAATTAGCCACATCTATATCGTTCATAATAATTTTCTTATTTTTTTTGCATAAAAGCACAGTTGATAAATTGAGGGTTTATCTGTTTTGACTATTTGTTGTCTTATGCAGTAGTTTGTCTTTTTCAAAAACTAATTTCTTTTACAACAGACATGTTTTGGCCAGGAATTGAACTATAAATGTTGTAGTTATGGGGTTTTTGCCTTCACCATTAGGCTACCTGGCTACCTTGCCTTAATGCTTGACGGTGGGTGTGCCTCGCACTTATTCCTGGCATGATCACCATGACAGCACCAGCTAATCAAAGTTTCCTCCTCAAGCATAGCCAGCTTTCATGCTAAAATGCCCTGCTGGCTGTCCGTGCAATGCTAAAGAGAAGCACATGCTGAATAAACTCCACACCCAGATGAACACACACCAGGTTCACTAGCTGCCTCTGCCTCCTCTGCAGGCTCAGTCTGATGTTTGATGTGAGGCTGGACTTGTACTTGCATCAATGTGATTTGATTGGTTAGCGCCTGCATTTGAATGTGTGTGTGTTTTTTTTTTTTTGACTGGCTGGTGACGAGGCTTTCACCTGAAAAGTTAAGCCTGAAAAAACTAGCGTTCTATCACACATACAGTGCAAGCAAATCAAAGCAGTGGAACCAAGCAGACATTAAGAGAAACATTCTTAAAAGAAAACAAATATAAAAAGTACACGATTAGGTTTACAATTGATGATTTGTAAAAATTACATATTCAATAAGCTACAAAATCCCATTAGCTCTGTATGGCACATATATTTCTATAGAGCACATAAACACATTGCACTGAAATGTTTTGGCTCCTCCATATGAACTAATGGCTGCTGTCCATTGCTTGAAACCAAAGTGCATCAAATTAGCGCTGTGTCTAGACAGCCTGTCCACACAAATGTGTGTGTCCATAAAGTTGACATTTAATGCATTGTTAGTAGATTGCTGAAAGATAAATGATCCTAGAGTGCTACTCATCTCTCTCTCTCTGTGTGTGTGTGTGTGCGTGTGCGTGCATGCGTAATTTATCTGTGTTTGGGCCTGTGGTCTCCCACTTCAGCATGGTGTGAAGAAATGTCCCTTCATTGTCACGCAGAGCCGCCATGACAGCAAGTCATTTGACTTCTTATCTGAACGACATGATAAAAGATGGATTAGTCACCTGTGTGACATGCATTTGTCTTCAAGTGTATTAATATACAGACATATTAACCTGTGTGTGTGTGTGTGTGTGTCTCTCTGTCTCCTTCTTCCTCTTGTTCCACTACATATTATATTTATCTATGTATGTATGTAGCAAACTCTATGTATGTGGATGCAGATTGTTCAAGTTAAGTCATGAAGTTGCAGACCTGACCCTCCAGATATTTAGACTCACCCTGTCCTTCCCCAGTCATCTGGCACATCACTAACGGTCTTGGGATGAGGGTCTGTTGGCAGCCTGTGTATGTATCCGAGTGTGTATCTGTGTGTGTGTGTGTGTGTGCACAGTGTGGATGATGGATTGGGGTCAGGGGGGGTTGCAGGGTTGCGATGTTGTTGCCAAGACAAACAGCTGCGCTTGTGTCTGGGGCAGGTGTTTCATAGCGACTCAGCACATTGAAATTAGTCAAATCAATACTTCCCTTCCCCTTCTATGCATATTTGTGTGTTCCATTCTGTGTGTGTGTGTGTGCGTGCATTTCTGCTTTAGATGTGTGCTTTTGATCTATTTAATCACTTCCTCGATTCAACTTATCATTGTCCTTATTTCTCCCCTGTGTGCTTATGTGAATGCAAATGGTTGTTAAAGAGTCTGGATCTTCTCCCACACTTGCATCACTTACACTCTCTCTCTCCCTCTCTCCCTCTGTCTCTCTCTCTCTCTCTCTCTCTCTCCCTCTCTCTCTCTCTCTCTCTCTCTCTCTCTCCCTCTGTCTCTCTCTCTCTCTCTCTCTCTCTCTCCCTCCCTCCTTTCCTCTCTCTCTCTTGATCTGTTGTATTTCAGATTACCTGGCTATAAATAATTGAATGTCTATTGTCTCTGTACTTTACTATGGCCCATCTGCACCCAAAGTTCAACCCCCCTCCTAAATGGACCATAGAGAGCTGCCCAGTCTATCACTTTAATGCACAGAGAGCAAAAGCACTTTTCCCACAATAGTCTTGGTGTGTAGATTATCCACCCTCCGTTGATTTCTGAGCTTTCTGAGAGCCCCGAGGTGTGTCTCAGCTTCCCAGTATGTGCTGCATTCACTGCAAGCCTCTTTCTCACGCTCAACCAACTTTATGTATTCACTCATAGATATAAACACCACTCTCCTGAGTAAAAAACGCTTTTTTCGTTGTCTAGCACTTTTTTCTCTTTGTCTTCCCATCCTTAACACTCGCTCATACTCTCTCATTCTCTTTTGGTTCCATGTCTTTTCTCCCTCTTCCCCACAAACCCATCCTTTGAGTATTGCCTATTCCAAACTCTCCATCCTTGCCCGTTAAACGCCACAGAGGAGAGGGTGGATTGTTAGTACAGCTCTAAAATAATGGTCACTCTAAAGCTGCAGCATGGGGCCATGGTCCTGGCGTCAGATAGCAGACCAGAAGAAGATGAGGCATAAAACAATGAACTCACTGCTTGTCCTTACCTCTTCAATCATGTTCTCATCACAGCGGTCAGAGGTCGACTCTGCCGGGTCAATTTAATAAACCAACTGACGATATCTGATATTTGTGATCTGCTGTAGTAAAACACAAACTAAAGCCATCACGGTAAGTATAGAGGAGACAGACAGATGGCTTCTTAATGTGCCAAGAGTGAGCAGAGGTACCTCAGCTAGATTTGTATTTACCTCATGTGTGAAGGGAATCAACCAAATTTATGGCAGAAGGCAAAATCAGAATTAGTTAGTAACTAGTTCATAAACATTCACATCCGCTCATCGTTCATAGTGAGAGGGTTTCAAAACCTTTTTTCAAATGTATGCTTTATCTGGTTTAAGAGACATGGTATCAAATCTGCAATTACATTTAGTTCAAATCTACATATATGATGACAAGGGTGTGGGTGTATTTCTATTTCTTTCTTTTCTTTTAGATGCAGATAAAAGTACTATGTCAATAACCTTGGTGTCAACAAATCTAGGTTTTTATGGCAACATATGATCCATAGAGCTCAGTGTAAACTTAAGAGAGGAACTTCAGAGCCTGAATGTTTGACCAGCTTATAGACCACTTGCATATCCACATAATAGAGAATGGCTAAACAAAATATGTGTGTGTTGTGCAATTGGACATATATCTAC